CTGTCGAAGAAGAAACTCTACCCGGTTTTGAGAAGGGAAACAGTGAAGCTGTTAATGAAGTTACTGCCACTGATATGACTGTTACCGATAATAGAACATTTCCTGATAGAGCAGCTGAACCCCACGTGAAGCAGAAGCGAACGAGACAGAGACCAGAACGGGAGAAGATATGTCCTGTAAAATTAAGAGACTTGTTGAATATTGTTGAATTTAAATTTTGTGTTTGTAAATTCTGTACATTTAATTAAGTTATTGTTAATAATTTATTGGTTTAATGTAAGTGGCTATTGGTCGGGACGAACAATACTAAGGAAGCGGCAGTGTTACGACAGCGGAAGTCACGTGACGCTGGTAACACGTCATGAGATTCTTGAAGGATCTTGAATTGTCCTGGCAACTCTAGTCTGTTCCAGGTGCTCTCTTTTTTGGTATATAAGCCCGGCAAATAAAGCAGGAATGATATAGAGAGATTGAAGATATAGATAATCGAGTCAAGCCGTTAGTAAACTGTGTGAATCCCTGTGAATTATAGCGTGTGTTTATAAAAGTAGTTAAGTTTAATGTGACTGTGGAAATTACGTGTATTACAAAGTTTATAACGAGAAAGAATAAACTAGTTTTAATTAAGAAAGGACTTATATCGCTGAAGTTTCTCGGAAAGAATTTCTACGGGAAATTAAGAAACAGCAGATATGTAACAATATTTTCACTACTTACATATTCAAACTAACTTTAAAAATTTTTCCAAGCGATCGAGTCCTACTTACCACCCAAACAAGCTCCAAAGGCCAAGGCATATACCAAAGGAGTTAAAGGCAGGTTGAGTTCTTTGTTGTTTGATAATGTTATAACAATCTTGATCTATAAGTATTAACCAAGAAATTAACATCATTGAACATCGAACTAAATGGAGATCGAAACTAGAAGAAAAATCACACATTAAATAAGTGTATTTATTTCAAACTTCAGTAACGAAAAAAATACCCAAAACGTTTACAAAACCACACAAAGTAATCATTTCCTCAATTATGAAAGTCTGAGTTTTCTTAGTTTTGACAGAGCACTAGTGACAAAAGTAAAGCAAGGATATGTTTGCAGGGGCTTTTCTATGATTTTATTATTTGAAAGGAAAAAAATAATTAACATTTTTATCTCAATGAGAGTCGAATGTCGAGACTTTAAGACTTAAAAGACTGTATGTTAGATGAAGATTACTAGGAAGTGAGGGGGTGAGCAAAGCTTTCCAACGAGGGTCTGCTCCCCACGCCACCACAGTGTACACGTCTCTACTATTCTATTAAATATCAACATTAAAAGAAGTGGTCATTAGCCTCATGTTGGACTAACTTTAAAATGTCTATAGCATAAGAAGTAGTCATTAGTTTCATGTTGGACTAACTTTAAAATGTCAACTCTACAAGTTATCATTAGCCTCATACTGGGCCAACTTTAAAACGTCAACACTGCAAGTTGTCATTAGTTTCATGTTGGACTAACTTTAAAATGTCTACAGCATAAGAAATTGTCATTAGTCTCATGCTGGACTAACTTTAAAATGTCTACAGCATAACAAGTTTCATTACTTTCACATTGAACTAACTTTAAAATGTCAACAATACAAGTTGTTGTCATTAGCCTCACACTGGACTAACTTTAAAATGTCAACACTAAAAGTTGTCATTAACCTCATGCTGGACCAGCTTTAAAATGTCTACAGTATATAAATAAATCTTGTAAAGTTTTTTGTATTTACAGAATATTTTATTGTGGACAGTTTTAGTAAAATTTGCGTAATATAGGCCACTTTTTTTTATAATGTAGAATATCTGCCACAGTAACTAATATCTGAATTAATTTTAAAATATGACATTTCGTGATAAAAAGTGGCATACGGTTTATTTCAGTTGATATCATGCTTTGAACTTAGAAGAGAGATGGGCAAAATTCATCTTACCATAACAGTTGTAAATGGAATGTTGTCAATGAAACTGGATGCTATGGCTGACACCCATATAACTAGCAAAATGGCGACTAGGAGACGTTGATTTTCATCAACAGCACTTATCCAATCCTGTGTTAACTGCCCGATGTACCACAATAATTGTAATTCTGCTAAAGCCTATGAGAGAAATGATTGAAAAAAAAAAGTTATTAGTTTTTAATAGTCAACGACATATTTCTAATAAATATTAATAAAAGTGTACTTATAAGATGTCATTATATTTTGTTAACTATACAAAGGCCTTTATCGTTGTTCTGGAAAAGTATAAGAATAGATCAATAGCAAAGGTATTCCTATATTAAAGAAAGAGGATAAGCAACAGAGCTGATAAACCAATGATATTCCTACCATTTAGGCCATAAAATTCCCTTGGATAAATCAATGATATTTCTACCACTTAGGCCATCAAATTCCCTTGGATAAACCAATGATATTCCTACCACTTAGGCCATCAAATTCCTTTGGATAAACCAATGATATTCCTACCACTTAGGCCATCAAATTCTCTTGGATAAACCAATGATATTTCTACCACTTAGGCCATTAAATTCCCTTGGATAAACCAATAATGTTCCTACCACTTAGGCCATCAAAGCAGAAAATTCCAAACTGAATACGAAATATTTCCTTCCTTCCTACTAATTATGTTATTATTTGGATAAAAATATAGTTTACTCGACAAAAAAAGTAACTTGTTTAAAGGATATTGGTCAAGCAAGGCTTTGGTGTAACTGACCAAAATGTTTTGATGAATTAAACACAGAAATAATGGATTGGTAATATATATTAATGCATTCTCAGGCAGTCATACTTAATGTCGCTCTCAATGTTTACTGATATTGTTGTAACATTGCTATTTCTATGCAGATTCTTTTCAATTATCAGGTGAAAATAATTCAAATGTCCAATCCAATTAATAAAACGAAATCCGTTTATTTCTTCCTTTCTACAAGCTTGAAGTTGAACAATGCTGTAAAATGTTGTAAAGTTTTTAGGTATGCAAATGACGCTATTCCTCTCTAACAATAGTAATAGGACTAACATACAGTGAATCCACATACTTGTACAAAGTAGGGAAATAATTTTCTTATATCAACTAACACGACGCTTCACTGAATGTCATTTTATAGTCCTTTCTAGGACTAACGTGAACTTAACGTCACAGTACATCATCATAAGCCCCGCCCCAGTGGCACAGATAACCCATCGTGTAGCTTTGTGCTTAATTACAAACAAACATCATCATATACCCGTAGCTCCCTCTAGCTAACAAGTAAATTACAATATTACGTATAAAGCTTACAACAATATCAATCAAAAGTATGCTTTTGGCTTTCTTTCGAAACAATGTCATTGTTTCAAATTGACCACACAAACGGGAAGAGGTGAAATTATTTTTTATTTATTATTTTCGTTGTTCAAATTTTTGATTTCTCTTATAGCATCATATATATCGCAGCTGAGAGATAAATATTGATTAAACTCAGTTTATATACTTTACAAATATAACACTGACAATGTTTACTCACCGAATTCTTAGCTTATATGGTTAATCTTATAGTTATATATACAAGAGATTAATATAGACAATGTTTACACAATAAATACGCAACTTATATGGTTAATCTTATAGTGATACATCAAGTGTAACATTAACTATGTCTACACATTAAATATTGGGTTTATGTGGTTAATCTTACAGTTGTGGTGTATGAATATATGAACATACCATGCATTTCTTCTTGTAACATTACAGTATTTATTTAAAATTACTTATTTATTCTGTATATGCGCAGGTTTCACATAACACGTAGTCGAGAAAGCTGTTAAATTGACTTCATTTTAGTTACTTTTGTTCCTTTGTTATTCCCAAGTAGATAATACATGTTCTGCCCATGGGTTTTATTGCTGCAATATTGCATGTTGTGCAAGGATGTCAACAACAGTGTTCTTGAACGGTTATTTAGGTAACACGTCAAGGTTTCGACCTCTCCCATGATTGAATAAGAATGACTAGTGATCTGGTAACACAGGTTGTTATTCATAAATATAACATTTCTCGCAAAATATGGAATGTTGAATTTAGTCAGCCTGATACATGGATTCAGGTTGAGCAGCTGAACATAGAAGATCTAGTAGAAACGATTGTCCAGTATTTTACTTGTAGCATACATAAAGATTGTTTATTTAGTGTTTCACTTCGTCTCTTTATTTCATCTGTACATATGAATCAATTACTCGGAGATTTATCTTTACTTCTAATCGATGTCCTGGTTGAATTTCCATTTATTAAGTGGACTTATCTCATTGCTCTAAAATTAATGCACTTTTACCTGAATATACCATAGTTACAAAAAAATGTATTAACACAGTCAATGTTTACTCATTAAATACTTGGCTTATATTATTAATCTTATAGTTACATATCAAATATAAAATTTACAAAATCAAATAAAATACTCAGTTCAGTAAAAAACTTCAGTTTCCATAACTAATCTTGTAATGACATGTGAACAGTAGTTTAATGAATGTTTGAGTTTAGCAGGTAAATAAACATTTAGCTTGGACTTATCTGTATCTCTAGGTGTTTTTGTTTTTATCAATTAGCTTAGACGTAACTATCTCCGAGTGTTTCTGTTTCCTGTTAATTAACTTGGAATTAATCCTTTCTCTGAGTGTTTCTGGTTTCTTTCAATTATCTTAGACTTAGTCAGATCTAGGAGTGTTTCTGGTTGGTATCAGTTAGCTTAGACTTAATCCTGTCTATGAGTATTTCTGGTTGGTATCAGTTAGCTTAGACTTAATCCTGTCTATGAGTGTTTCTGGTTGGTATCAGTTAGCTTAGATTTAATCCTGTCTATGAGTGTTTCTGGTTGGTATCAGTTAGCTTAGACTTAATCCTGTCTACGAGTATTTCTGGTTGGTATCAGTTAGCTTAGACTTAATCCTGTCTATGAGTGTTTCTGGTTGGTATCAGTTAGCTTAGACTTAATCCTGTCTTTGAGTATTTCTGGTTGGTATCAGTTAGCTTAGACTTAATCCTGTCTATGAGTATTTCTGGTTGGTATCAGTTAGCTTAGACTTAATCCTGTCTACGAGTGTTTCTGGTTGGTATCAGTTAGCTTACACTTAATCCTGTCTATGAGTATTTCTGGTTTCTATTAATTAGCTTGGACTTAACCCTATCCCTGAGTGTTTCTGGTTGGTATCAGTTATCTTAGACTTAATCCTGTCTATGAGTGTTTCTGGTCGGTATCAGTTAGCTTACACTTAATCCTGTCTATGAGTATTTCTGGTTTCTATTAATTAGCTTGGACTTAACCCTATCGCTGAGTGTTTCTGGTTTCTATCAATTATCTTAGACTCAACCCTGTCTTTGAGTGTTTATGGTTTCTATCAGTTATCTTAGACTCAACCCTGTCTATGAGTGTTTGTAGTTTCTAATAAATAATTTGGACTTAACCCTATCTCTGAGTGTTTATGGTTTCTAGTAAATGGCTTGTACTAATCCTTAACAAACTTTTTATTCGTTTTTATATCAAAAGGGAAATATGTAACTCTAAAAGTTCAGATTAACAGATTTGAAAAATTCAGTGCAACTCAGTCTCTAAATTAATGAGTAGAATGTCTGTAATAGTGATATATATATATATATTAGGGATGCACGGGTACCGGCCAGGTATTTGGCTACTCGGTAATACTCGACTCAGGCCAAATATTGAAGTTAGGCATCTAAGCCTAATCTTTGTGGCAACTAACGTGGTACTAAAAGTAACAGTCACTAATTGGTTTAGTTATAAAAAACGTGTTCCGAGCTACAAAAACAGACCACCAGCAGAAAGTCGGGGATTCAGAGAACAATTGGGGTTAGGGTTTGAAAAGTTGGAGCTAGGTATTGAAAGTTGAAAGTAAAACTTGAATGTTCTGTTGGTGATTAAATGTAATAAACGTCCATTTTGTTTTTGTTTCTAAGTTTTGTGAATGTTGTTATTTTACTACCCGTGCATCATTAATATATATACACACACTCAGCAAGAAGTAAATATCATCACAAACCTCCATTACAACAAAAAGAGCAGCAAAAAACAGGAGTGTGCTCCATTCCACACGAGAAATGACGCTTTCAATCTCATCGAAGTCGGCTAGGATCAGCAGTACAATCGCTCCCAAAATGGCAATCCAACCTATGTTTTTATAAAATAGATAACAATTGTGCTAATGATTGATATCCAACCTATGTTTTTATAAAATAGATAACAATTGTGCTAATGATTGATATCCAACCTATGTTGTTTATAAAACAGATAACAATTGTACTAATGATTAATATTCAACCTATGTTTTTATAAAATAGATAACAATTGTACTAATGATTAATATCCAACCTATGCTTTTATAAAATAGATAACAATTGTACTAATGATTAATATCCAACCTATGTTTTTATAAAATAGATAACAACTGTACTAATGATTAATATTCAACCTATATTTTTATAAAATATATAACAATTGTGCTAATGATTAATATCCAACCTATGTTTTTGTATTCACAGTGTATTTCTTTACTTTTCGCACACTTTTCTACTGTCACAGCATTGTTACTACATTGTTTTCTATCGTATCAACACTGTTTTTAATTCTCAACGGCGCGTTTTCAGTTTTTCACTAAAATTGTTTCTATTTTGACCAGCACGGGTTTCCATCGTCATCATCAGCATATCATTATATTATTTTATGTTGTAACTAGCACTGTTTCTATTTTCAACTACTTTTTTCTAGTCACTGCACAAATTCACAATTACACATCTGTAACTATCTTTATACTGGTAAGTCTGTTGACGTAAGTCATGTTGACATGCCATAACACACATCTATAACTATCCTTATACTGGTAAGTTTGTTGACGTAAATCATGTTGACATACTATAACACACATCTATAACTATCCCTATACTGGTAAGTATGTTGAAGTAAGTCATGTTGTTAGCTGAGTTCTTGCACAGATCTTAAAATATAACGTTGATAAACGGAAACATCGGCACATGTAGATATGTAGATCTTGAAAGTCGAGTTGTTCAAAATTTGAAAATAGCATTGATAACTGGACCAACTGTTGGTTGAGATGTTGCAAAGGAAATATCTGCTGAAGCTTTTCGCCAGACACTAATCATAGCAGAACCGCCTGGAAAATTATCTATAGGAAATAGTACAGCTTATAAAATGAGTCAGAGCAACGTACGCCGGGAAGACAATCACTGATTGGCATGTCCTTTAGCCAATCAGGAAATGTCACAGGCCTACTGAAAGATGTGTAGATTGTATAGGAATTGTTTTTGGCAGCAAAGGACACGTTTATGTGTTTTAATAAAGGTGGCTTCCAAAATATAGAGCTAAAAGGTCGAGCGACCATTTGCAATAATTTCAAACCTGCTATCCATGTAGTTGTCAGCACAAGTCGGGTTCACTAGTAAATGCTGGCCAATCGCTGATTCACATTTTCTACTATCTGTAACTATTCCTATACAGTGGGAATCTCGTTAATCCATTCATGTTGAGTATCGTTAACCATATCACAGTAATACTAAAGCAACGTAAAACAATCTAGTGTTTATTAAAGACAGTTAAAGTTTTTAACATTCTGAGAAGTTAACAGATAACATTTTGAAGTATTTGTTGTAATTTAGCTTGTGTTTCAAACAACTCAGTCGTGGCACTGATTTTGGTGATTTATCTACAGAGAAGCAACAGATATGACAATTAGGATAAAATAAAATTAGAATGAAACTATTGATCTCATTTCATTAATTAGATCAGTAAAGTATGAAAAGAAGAAACTGTTTATTACATACCCAGGCTGAGATTTAGATTTGGTATACTTTGAAGAAAGAAAAGAATTATAACACACGCTAAAACAATTCCAGTCTTCACCAGCAGAGATCTATTTCGTATCTTATACTGAAAAAGTAAGCAAAGATAGCTTTAATTTATCATTTCAAAATAAGACATATGTATATCACAAGAAATAATACAATCAACGTTATTTTGAAAATTTAATCAAGTGTTATTTTTCATTACAAATAGGTTCATCTTGTGGTATTTAAAGTTAATAATAAACCAAAACAACACTGCTTAATCAACAAACGTTTGTTTTTAATCAAGCTTTTGTAGTTCTTCGTTAGGAACAAATTCATCTGGTGGGTTTTGGAGTTAATAATTAACCAAACCACTGCTTAATGAACAAACGTGTTTTTTTTTTTTAAATCAGGTGTTTTGGAATTTACAAATTCCTTCATCAGCGAACATTTACGTAGTCAATTTATGTTGAGATCTGTAATTTAGAACAATTCGATGTATAAATTTCTACACTCATAATTCAGTGGAGCATAAAATATTTAAGTAAAACAAAGACAGGTGGAAGGAATTAGATTATTGTTTAGGATAGGGAGGTCGTTTGTAATTGATTAAAAATTAATTTTTTTTTCAACAAACCTGAGTTAAGGATTTTGAGTTTTTTGTTAAGATCCTGGAAAGTTTAACAGTTGTAAATAATACTATATGTTCATAGGCTTGTATATGTATCTGTTGTATTGCTTTGCACTTTTGTAGTACCCATACTTTTAATGAGGTTTTTGATTATGATAAAAAGGTTATAAAATAATGTTAACTTCTGCTCAGAGCAAGGTTTATTTAGATGAAACTAAAATGTAATGTATATAGCTATTTATATATACTGTTCTCAGTTATAATAATTATGATTTATTGTTTTATCAGTTGGGTGTTCAAGCTAGAAGATTTAGGCTAAACCAAAATCCATATATTAAGTTAACAATCTCTGTAATAAAACTATAATAATTAAAAATTAGAAAACTTGATGTATTTAATATTCTAACCAATAAATAAAGACTATAGTATACCTCACTTACTATAATAAAAATGCACGTTTGTTCTATCATTAAAATACAATAAGTGTAAATTGGTAAAGAATATAAACATATTAAACATTCATTTTGATATATCAAACTATTTCTCCAATTTATTCACAAATATGTGTAAAACTGAGGACCGAGAAATGTTTGAGATATTTTACAAATATATGTGACGTTGGTTCTCGAAAAATGTTTGAGACATTTCTGAAATATGTGTGACATTGGTGCTTGAGAAATGTTTGAGACAATAAAGTCGAGTGGGTACAAGCTATACCTTATTACTGAGTTCCACTAAGCTTGCTTGATAGCTCTCCTCTGATGGTCTGAAAAAAAGTATGACACATATAGTAAGTTTCATAAAGCTGTACCTTACTGAGAATTATTTAGAAGTTATCAACAAAAGTTAAAATAATTGAGCTCTGATTAATGGTGGGTTATACTCCAGCAGTGAGTTTCTTTAATTTCACTAAAACTACAATATAACATAAATGATATTAAGTATCTGTTAAACTACAAATAAGATGATACTGAAATGTTGGGTTAAACTACAATGTAAAATAAGATGATATTAAAGTATCTGTTAAACTACAATATAAAATAAATTAAAATGATATTAGAATTCTGTTAAACAACAATATATAAGATTATATTAAAGTACCTATTAAACTTTAGTATAAAATAAGATGATATTAAAGTATCTATTAAACTACAATATAAAATAAAATGATATTAATGTATCTATTAAATTACAATATAAAATAAAATGATATTAAAGTATCTATTAAACTACAATATAAAATAAAATGATATTAAATATCTGTTAAATTACAATATAAAATAAAATTATATTAAAGTATCTATTAAACTATGATATAAAGTAAAATAACATTAAAGTATCTATTAAACTACAATATAATATAAAATGATCTTAAAGTATTTGTCAAGCTACAGTATAAAATAAAATGATTAAGTATCTTTTATGCTACATTATAAAAAAGATGAAATTTGAAACTACAAATTTGAATAAAATGAAATTATAGTACCATTAAAATTACAAATTAGAATAAGATGAAATAGAGTGTCGTTTAAAAAACAAGATAGAAGATGAGATTACAGTACCAGTTAAACTACGAGATAGAAGATGAGAGTAGAATACCAGTTAAACTATAAAATAGCAGATGAGATTAGAGTACCAGATAAACTAGAAGATAGAATATGATGAGATTAGAGTACCAGATAAACTACAAGATAGAAGATGAGATTAGAGTACCAGATAAACTACAAGATAGAAGATGAAATTAGAGTAACAGATAAACTACATGGTAGAAGATGAGATTAGAGTACCAGATAAACTAGAAAATAGAATATGATGAGATTAGAGTACCAGTTACACTACAAGATAGAAGATGAAATTAGTGTAACATATAAACTAGAAAATAGAATATGATGAGATTAGAGTACCAGTTAGCACTACAAGATAGAAGATGAAATTAGAGTAACAGATAAACTACAAGATAGAAGATGAGATTAGAGTAACAGATAAACTACAAGATAGAAGATGAGATTAGAGTAACAGATAAACTACAAGGTAGAAGATGAGATTAAAGTACCAGGTAATATAGAATATGATGAGATAAAGTAGCTATTAAACTACAAGATAGAATAAGGTGAGATTAGAGTACCAGATAAAACTACAACATAGGATAAGGTGAGATTAGAGGAATTATAGATTATCAACAACTATGCACATTCTGTTGTTTCAACAAGAATAGTATGTTTATTAGTTCCATCAACAACGAACATGAATTGCCAACAATTATGCATATTCTGTATGAGTAAAACAATGTGACCATTTTATATTTTTGTGTTATTAAAGTCAATTATATAAATGTTTCTTTGTGAGTTTAAGCTGTTGCATCTCTAATACTGCCTGCTTAATGACAATAAATATGAATAGTTTACGTACCTTATGTCATACAGTTTTTTTTTCAGCAGGTTCTCTAAAGAATAAACCTTTTTTCTTAAAATGGCACGGACAGTGTTTTCATCTCTAGAGTAGCCCGGTAGAGACTTACAAGCTTTCTTCCAAACTTCAATTTCATGACGTAGCTCTGTTAAATTCGGAAGTTTGATTACATCGGTGAATATAGGGTATACTTACTAACACGTATTGCAGAAGTAATAATTAATAACATTTATACTAGTATGGTACAATTAATAACATTTATACTAGAACGATATAATTAATAACATTTATAGCAGAAGGATATAATTAATGATATGCACAGAAGAAGGGTATAATTAATAACATTTATAGCAAAAGAGCATAATTAATATCTTTGTTGCGTATCTGCTTGTTTGTTTGTTTCCGGTAGAAATTCTGACCGAGGATCTTCAGCGATACAAGTCCTTCTTTGACTAAACCAGTTTATTCTTCCTCGATACAAACTTTTAGTACACAGAAATTCCACAATCAGTACGTTTCTCGTCACTTTAAACATAACAACTTTTATAATACATGCTATACACCACAGCAATTCACAATCTCGAATGCTTCGCTCTCGATGAGTTCAAAATACACACTTTACATCTCACTAGCTCGAATCTGACAGAATCATAAATTACACGG